ATGACTATCTTGGTATCAGTCTGCCATTGATAACGTTAGCAGAATTTAGTAAAAATATTTACATAAAGCACACTTTATTTTTCATTCACTGAACTGTAAATATCAGACACTGATAACATTGCAGATGATTTGATTAGTTATTGTCAGAGACGTAATCCCAGCAATTAGCAATGTGTATATTGAAAAAAAGAAGTCAAATATTAACATAATCTTCAATTGCTGTAACTAAAGCATAAACAAACCACGCAAAATATGGAAAATACTTGCTTATCATGGAAAAATATTTAACTAGATTTTCAAAGTGCCTTCAATATAACAAACTCTATTAGATGTTATTAATGGAGGAAAGTGAGATTATCCAGAGCAGACAAAAAGGCTCCATGGCTAAACCAACATTTGCAGCTACTATATGTAACAGAGAAACCTACCTCAGTTTCACATAACCTCATAATTGTAACTCTGTGGGAACAACTCTGCATGATCACCACTTCCACTAAAAAGAGATTGCTTGAACAAAAAGAGTGAGATTGCCAGTAGAACTCCTTATGAACCTACTGCATACAGATGACTGATCTAAATATCCCTATCAGGTGTTCACCAAAAAAAAACCAAACCAAAAAGAAAGACCTGTAACATTTCCCCACAGCTGGAGGGAACGCATAGGATGACTTTCTCTTTGTATTTTATTTTATGAGAATGTTCAGGGACCTCAGAGAAAATCTGTATTTTATAATCTCACATAATTCCCATTTCAGAAATGCATAAACTTTCAGGAAAGAAATTTCACTAGCAATGCACAAAGTGATCAAGCCCATACATCCTTAATGATCCAATTTTTACTGGGTTTTTTTTAACAAAAAAATGGCTTTTCTACTCTACAAAACTTATCTGTAACATAATTCCATAATAAAAATTTTGTTGCTAAAATGATTCACAGTATTCTGAGCACTCTGCAAGGATTTACATTGGATAAAGCTCCTTAGAGTAGCAAATTATGATAAAATGCTTCTGCAGGAACACCAGTCCTCTTTCACAAAGGTATGAAGTGAACACAGGCTATAAACTTGACACTTCTCCACTTTCCTATTATGCTTTTGAGGTTGAAAAAAAAATTGATCAAGTGTTCTTTGCTGGACACATTAATTTTACTGTAGGAGTAACTGCACTGTCAGTTTGATGCAGTTTAGTCACTCTACTTAAACCCAAGGACTTCACAGACAAGTCTGACAGTGCATATTTCAGCATCAACTCTAATTCTTCTAGAAAGCTCCCTGTTTTCAACCAAACCAGGCTGATTAAACAAACACTGTTTCACTAATTAACAGAATGAGGAGTTTCAGCTTTCTCAAGACAACACTGAAGAAGTGCTTCCAACCCTGAAGACCACTAAGACATTCTGTGGTTGGTGTTCATCAGAAGCCAGACTGTTCCACGCAGCTGCCTCATAAATCCAGTAAAGTTGGATGCTATCACTGCCATATTAAAACAGGCTTTAACTTACCAAGACATTGATCAGCCACCTACCAATAGAAACAGCGAACATGACTGAGTTTAGGGTACAACATGAAAGGTTTAGTACCTACCTGGGGGGTGAGGTACCACACAAGGCTTTGAAAACACCTAGGAAGTAGGTTTCCCTTGAATCCCAGTAGTAAGTCAACTTTTAAGGAAGCTGCAGGATAATCAACTGAAAAAATTTCAGTCATCGCAGGAGTAGTTTGAGGAATGTGTAAGAATTATTTCATTTCTTTACACTCATCAGGTCTAAGCACAGAAACCACTTAAATGTTAACATGAAACTTTGGTTTACTGATACAGTATTGGGATAAAGAAGATAAATAGCTCAGCCCATGCTGTAAGATCACACCTAAAGTCTGCCAAACATGATGTGCACAGTAACACATAGTGTGTCTTTGACAGGTAAATATTGTTATTCACCACACCAGAAAGTACTGTATCACTGGCTAGGAACACAGGATTTTTGTTTTCTGGCAAATTACTAACTTGAAAGCAGTAGGTAATTCAGCATTTTCTAATTTTGATGTTAATTCTATTTACTCGGTCAGGGAGCAAGAAGAAATTCCTCAAAGTTCACAACCAGTGCTGCTGAGAACTGCTTCTTCTCAGCCAGTCATCTAGAAATACAGCCCTGCAGCTTCTCTGGATGCACTACCCAAATCCTGGCAAACGCTCTAAAACTCCAGGTTCACAGTTTAACTATTATGACCAACGAGAGCTAACATAACTTTTCAGATATATTTCCCTTAGCCTCCAACAAACACAAGGTAACACACTTTTAAAACTTTCTTTAGTGATGACAAACTGTGCTCAAAGATTCCATTACTGGCCACAGATAAAACACTGACTTGAATTTATCATTGCATTTTCAGCTGCACAAAACTCCTTATGAATAAGTCATGTACAAAATATAAAATGTTACCCTGTGAAGGAAGAAATCAGGCTACAGTAGGATTCCAAAATTTTCATGTACTGTGCTAAGACTAGCAGCCAGAGATCACACTGAAGCTTGGGATTTTATGTTTGCAAACTTTTAGCAAATGGGAAACACACTGACCTCTTCTGAGCAAAAGGAAAAAGCAGCTGTGTGGCAAAATTCTTCACAGAAATGGAACTTACTCCTTATTCTCATTATACCCAAATTTCAGTTCTGACAGTTATGCCACACCCTTTGTTTATACCAACAGAACACAGTGGTCCTTGAAATAAATTAGAACACAAACCTTTCACCATTCTACATACAGCAAAACAGAGTTTCTGAAAACTGTAAGATAGATTAAGGCCCAAATCTCTATTTTGATTTTTTGGGCACCTTTAATTTGCTAATTCATTGTCCTGGTTTAACCCCAGTTGCCAACTCAGCCCCACAGAGTTACTCATCACTTTCCACCAGTGGAATGGGGGAAGAGAATCAGAAGAGTAAAAGTGAGAAAACTCGTGGGTTGAGAGAAAGACAGCTCAAAGGTCAGAAAAGGATGACGGTAACAGTTATAAATTAGAGTGTACATGTGTTGCACAGTGTAACTGCTCACTGCTGGCTGACTGATGCCCAGCCAGCTCTGGAGCAGAGCCCCTGGCCAGCTTTCCCCTCAGTTTATACACAGAGCACGATGTCACGTGCTATGAAATATCCCTTTGGCCACTGGAATCACTGTGTACCCTCCCAACTCCTCATGTCCTGCCTCCTCACTGGCAGGACATGAGAACCTGAAAAGTTTTTGACCGAGTATAAGCACTACTTAGCAACAACTAACACCACCACTGTGTTATCAACATTATTCTCATACTTAATCCAAAACACAGCACTGTACCAGCTACTTGGAATTAACTGTAGCCCAGCCAAACCTGGACATTCATCAGCTTCATACCCAGCTTTGCATTGATGTGACTGTCCTAAAAGTAGGCAATAAACAAATAATTGCCTTTAAAGCCAAGACACACATGAAAAAATGGTTCCACAAATTTGGTGAAAATAGTAAAAAATTATCAAAAAGGTTTTGATCAGGAAATAAAGATTTTATTATATAACGCAGAACACTAGTTCTGGCTTGCTCTACTTCTGCATTAAACAGCCTTTTTTAAAAAAAAATATTTTTCATTTACACATTGGACTAATGGATTTTGTGAATATTTGATCTTTACATCCATCCTTCTTTGCCTTCCACAAACCCAGATAGTTTGCTTGCAATATAAGTTTTCTAATTTCTAAAAAAATTGCTATTAAAATTTGTTGATAACTGCAAAAATAATTTGCTGCTTCAGCAAAATTCCTTTTCCTTTTGTACATGCACAAGCATGCAAACAAAAGGAGAATGGAGTGAATTCAGTAGAGTTTAAGTTGACATCTATTAACAGCAAAATTTTAGGGTAGACATCAAAATTCTCCAAGGATGACAGGGTGCAGCAGGAATCGTCAGGTTACCACATAAAAAGAGAGACAAATGTTTTCAACAAGTTGAAATGGAGTTTCAAATGTAATTTTAAGATCAGAAATGTCTCTTACAGAGGAAGTGTCTTTCCCTTTCCCTGGACAATAATGCTACAATGATTTACTAAAGTGGGAGACTCTCACACACACATTTGCATTCTCATTAACCTGATCAGCTTTGTACAGAACACAAATATAGATCTGATGTTCTTTTCTGAAACACATCTTACCCTTCCAGCCACAGCAATGACTCAAGGAGATCCTTCCAGCAGTAGAAGAGCACCGTAAATGTTTTTCTTCAGCCCAAACTTTATCCTGTTAATATATATGCAATATATATGAAGCACCAACAGATAGCAGAATTTGTTTCATATTGGGGTTTCAAAAAATTCTCTAAATACACTATATTCTCATCATACAAGCCTACAAGGCCACAGGAGCTCACAGTTCAACGAAGTATGCCCATAGGCAAAGTAAGGGAAACAAGCATTTTAACAGTTTAAGATGTCTTCCAAACAATCAAAGTTCTCTTGCTTTTCTTTCTGTTTTTTTACCGAAATCCTTCAGGAGGAAACAGGAAGTGTTCTAAACAAATTCACATACAGTGACAGTGTTTGAGTAATTCCAATAGTATGTATTGTTGCAATGACCTGTTATTATTCATACTAAAGCAATTTGTCTATTCATACTGCAAGCAGCTTTTAAGGTGGCAGGACACCAAGTGAGCTCCATTCCCCAGATGTTCCCCTTGGTCCACAGAAGACAGTGCAAGAGTCTTCCATCACAATGATTTTATCAACAATAATCCTCCACACACCTTTTTTCTTATCTTAAATTACCTCTCAAGGTCAAATAAAAAAACATTGCTTTAAAGACTTGAATTTAACATACTCCAGAATAGTAATAGCTTATATCCAAGGATATTAACTCCCCAAAACAACAGCATAACTCCCCTTCTAACCCAAATCTAGAGTGCATCTACTCACAGTCACAAGGCTGATGAACTCCATTATCTTAATTATCTTACCCAGTAATAAAATACCACAGAAGAAAGTTTGCCAAAATAAAAATGGGAATATTTATTATCTTTTCTACTAAAGCAATGCAGTTCTTTTAAGATTATACATTGGTCTTTGCAAATGTTTCTACAGCTAAATTCATACTTTTCAATTTTGTAAAAAAATTAGACACATACTTCATAAAAACAAAGACACAGGCTATGCCACTGAACAACTGGAAGGTATTGTAACTGTTAGTAGGGATGAGCAAAGAAAGCTCATGCTTATGCTTAAAACTCTGGCGTTTGTATCGTTATATGTTCAAACGGGACAACATGGGCATGTTCTCCTTGCACATTTTTGGGTCCACCTCCCAAGTTTTCAGCAATCAGACTTAAATACTGAATCTGAAGAGAACTTAAACATTGCTTAGCAGTACTACATGCACAAGATGCAGGGGAAGGAAGGAATCAGACCCGTGCATACAGTACAAGACAAAGTGTTACAACTGTCAAACGTGCACTGGACAAAATTTGAAGTTTATGAAAAGTTTTATTTGTAATCATGAAAATAGTTTCAGAAGCAAATAACTGTATGTATTATGCAAAGTCATCTTCACTTGGCCTCCTGAGCTTTTTTGGCATTCTGTTTTTCTTTTGCCTAGAAAACAAAGGGAGATGATGTCAAGCTCTGAGAAGACAGATCTTTCTGAAGCTTTGCATGACTACTCATTACATTCCTGAACATCAAAATATGCTGTAAAAAGAAACATTTTAAATGTAAATTTAAACCCTTCAGAAGTATCCTACTACTATTTTACTGGGTTCGTATATAAAGGCTTTTAAGAATAGATATAGGTTTAAATAAATAATACAAAGGAAATTAAGATTAGGTGATTTCTATGGGGAAAACTAGAGGGGGAAAAAGGCACTATTTTTAAAACATAGTTTAAGCCTTCATTTTTCATACCATCGTATTAATTTCACCTAACATAGAAATAACTCTTCCTAATGAAAATATTCTATGTCACAAGGAAACACTGCATTCAGACACACTGACTAGCAAAACTGAACTCTGCAATGACCAAGATCTTAGTGTTTTAGATCTTTCAGATGAGTGGGGAAAAAAACCCAGAAGAGTTCCTATCAAGATATTTGCAGACAAATTCTTATATAACTTGTATCAATTACAAATGGTTCAAATTGCCAGGGAACTAGCATTTTTTTCCTTATGGATTTAGTTAAAAGACAAGCTGGCCAAGAAGAGGGGGCAATTCAGAAGCAATATCAGCCAACTTTCTGTCAAAATATTTGTTCATTCTGAATCAGGCTGCTGCTTGTATCACTTGTTATTGAACAGAAAAGTACCTAATTCTGTGATTTACAATTAAGATCTATCACCAGGTGCTCAGGTCCACTGGAAATTTGCTTGTAAAAGCAGCTTGATGGTCTTATAAATGACTCCTGCCAACATGAAACTGGATTAAAATTCCACACATTACCCAAAGAAGGAAAAGATTAAAAACTAGAAGTTACTGTCTTGTAAGCTACAGGCCAGCAAACGTACCTTCCTAAGTAAATTCAGCTAAAGAATAGACTCATTAAAATAATATATAGCTCTTTTTTTCATTATAATAATACAGAGATCCTTTCTCAGTGAGTTCAAGACCAGGGATACTGCCTCTGGCACACGAGTAGATATGCAAAGCAGCACTGAGCTCAGTACAGCTCAAGTACTCAACCAGCCAGTTTAATAACCTTACCCAAGTGACAACACTCTTTAATAACTAAGCTTTAATACAAACCTTAACAGTAAATCAATGTTAATAGCTAAACACCTTAAAAAGGGGGAAAGTAAAGCCCGTAAACGAGAAGAGGGAAAAGGAGGGAAAGAATTCCCAGCTCCAGTGCCTGTGCCACGGCTGCCACCCGGCGGTCACAGCCCGGGACTGCACCAAACTGGGCGTGGAGAGGCCGCAGTGGCCAAAGGGACCGACCGCGGACGGTGCTGGGGTGCACATCCGAACACTCTGCGGGTCAAAAAGGGACATCAGAAATGATATGGGGAACTCTATCACAGACTAACCGAAGCCAAGTATCATAATTTTAATAGGATTTTTAACTATCCACGCAGAAAAGCCCAAATCTTATGTCTCTTGTATTGCAGCATCTTACGCCCTGTAACGTGATTTAGATGATATTGAACTGCCTCTTCCTAAATCACCATCAGAAAAATTTGTTTAGTTTATTAAAGGGGAGATACAGTTTGCCTTTGCCTAATACTGCAAAGTTGGTTTGTCCCACAGTCTCCAATCTGCACTGAAATTGTGGCTCTTGAGAACAAGCTAAAGTAGCAATACACATGAACGTAAAAAATGTGGTCAAATATCTTGGAATCATAAATGTCATGGGTTTGTTTATTTAATTTTACATAGAAGGTATGAAGAATTATAGTAATATACTGTTTCTTAAAAGTCAGCTAGAAAATACTCACTTTTTCTACTAATGGTATTAACTGCTGGTGCTCTGCTAGAGTCTTTAATAATTCCATGATGAAAGGCAGGTAATTATGTTTTCTTCTAATATTTTCGATCTAAAAATAAATTAAAAGCATTAAGGTATTATTATATCACTCAACTATCTTCTAGTCCCCATCCAGTTCTTTCACATTAATTGCAGCAGCTCCCATAGATATAAAAACCAGCTTTTTCTTACAACTGTTGCAATAATTTCATCAGAAAAGCAAAGGCTACATACCTTATATCTTTTTAATTTTTGGTTCTCTTCTTCAATTAACATCTGGTATTTTGCAACTTCTGATTGTATAGAACTTAGCATATTACTACTTTGATCTGTATCCATAGGCTCCTCCTTCCACAAAACAGAAAAAAACCTAAACTAAGTCTTGTCTTCAGAATATTTCTATCACAGATTAGGGTATCACAGTTATAGCAACATTCCAGGAATTTCCTCAGTTAGGTATAAGCAGAGTAGCTTGGGCACTAGGTAAAGAACAATTCCAGTACCACAGCAGATAAGTCAAGACTGAAAGCCACAATGACATGGTCACACTGTACCCAGTGCTCAGCTCAGCTCCCTGGGAAGGAACCAGAGCTGCAGCAGTGACTGTGCTGCACAGGAAAGCAGTAATAGCAATCCTTCCCTTTTTTTTACTGATACTCCATTTGGAGCAAGGAAAGGAGGTGAATAGTAAAGCAAACACACAGAACTACTAGAGAACTACTCCAGTAATGTAAATACCATGGCCTACCTCTGCCAGCTGTTGCTGTAACTCTGCAATCCTCTGCTCATATATCATCTTCCTGTCAGACACAATAGCCATCAGGTTAAACCTTATCTCACCTTCACTGTATCTAGAGGAACAGAAAAACAAAACAACAAAAACAACCCACTTTCAAAATTAGTCACTAACATGACAATTCAAAAACCTCCTCCTCTGTTTCATTAGAAGGGAATGCATTTCATGGAAACAACATTTTAAATGGATCTATTAAATTAAGTTGTGCTACAGATCTAATTTTGCCTCAAATGAATTCTACCCAATTTGTAACTCCTAATAACCTCCTCTCCCCAGACATTACTATTCCTGTCTGTGGTCACAAAACATAAACACTTAAACTGTGAAAAAAGGAAAACAAAACCCAATATAGTTGACAATAAAACTTGCACAAGACTGCTGCATACAATAGTTTTTACTTTCTCACTACTATTACTGGTTAGAAAACATGGGAGACTTCTTCATACAGTGTGAAAAGTACATTCAACAATTAGACTAGCAGGCCTTTCAGACTCAAAATTCTCCAAATGCAATTTGGTAGTAATGCTTTGCTTATTAAAAAAAAGTCTTCAAGCAAAAGCTTTTAAAATAATTTTCCAGAAACGGCATAAAATCAACTTTATTTCTAGCACATTTAGGGCTGCTGTTTGGAGTCAGAGCCAACAAGTAGGAAAACTTAAGTAGTATGTTTTTCCAGCTTAAATTTCTAAAACAAGCCACATACCAAAGAAAATTTTGTTATCTCTAAATCCCAGTTGTATGGATATAGTTACTATCTAGTACTCCTAAGTATAAGCACACACTCAAACTTTACTTATGGTCATGACACTCTTAGTCTTCACTTGCAAAACCCCACAGCTGTTTAACAGAGATAATAATCTTGCTCTTCTTTTTCCAGAGCACTAGTGGGGTCTCTCCTTACTACACAGATACCTTACTTTGATTAATTACATAGCAGTACAGTGTCTCACATTTATCTCATGTTGGGCAATAGGTTCTCAAGTCACACAATGATACGCATACAAAAATGATGCATAAGCATAATTCCTTAGAAATTCAGCTGATATTCTTTAACTGAAGGAAATTAAGAGTAAGGAATTTTAAAACACATAGAAGGTGCTATATTTTAAAAGCATCATGACCATTTACTTTTGTATACGCTTCTCTATGACAGGCCGTACAGCACTTATCCAGTCATCCTGGTTGCATGCACCTGGGGAAAAACAAAGAAAAAAATTAACCATCTTGGCAAAATTTACTGCAAAGTCAAGACTTGGATAATTCAGGTGTATGCAGCAACTTCAAAGTATGTAACAAGTTCTTCCTTAGCAACTGCAGTCTCAAATCAGGTGATTTTTCAGGAGGCAGAAGACATTTTATTAATTACAATATTTAGATAACACAGTGACCAAAGCAATAGAGCAAAACTAAATTTTAAGGGCATAAGCAACTAACAATTTACTTTGTTGATAACACAAAACAATAGGGCAGGGGGAAAGTATGTTATGGAAGATTTATATGAGAGGAAAGAAGTTAGCTGGTATGACAACATTACAATAGATAGCAAAAGAAAACATTATGGATAGCTACAGCTGTCTGTTTAGTATCAACTCTTGATTTTTGTCTCTGTAGATGCAATACAATTGCATTAAAAAGTCAGACACAGAGAAAAACTATAAAAGGTTATATGATAGATAACTTGACTTTGAGAGAAACGAGAGAATAACTAAAGGTGATTTCCTAAGTTGACAATGCCTCTTTAATAACTTCAAGACCTTCAAGTAAATGAAGAGACTCATGATCTTGTGACCACAAAAATGATGTTACTGGTAGGTCTGCTGACTGTACACTATCTCTAGACTGACTAAAGACAAGCCATTTAGCAGCAAGCCACTACTCAGCCTAAAAGTAAAATATAACTGTCAACAAAACTGAGAAAACACTCTGGAAATGGAGTGTGGAACACACTGATATTAGATCAGACATGACAGTACAGATACATGATAGGCACTGTAGAGCTTTTCAAGACACAACAAAGCACACATATCACCAAGCTAAGAAAGATTACAAAACAGGAGCAAGTCTTACAGAGAATAAAACTATGCTGGAAGTAACTATTTTTTTTTAGAACCATTAGGAAAATAATTGTTATCTAAGAAGAAAGAGGGCAGGGTGCAAACACAAGCACATAATGTAAAAAAAGTGTTTGGAATCAGCTGTGTACACGTTGCCAGTATGTAAACTTCTCTCTTGCAACAAAATTATCAAGGTTTGGATTGCATGGCCTGTTCATTTGATTACTGAATGAAAGAAGAGATCATAAGAAACATGGAGGAAGCAGGAAGAAAGCTGTATTTTCAGTCCAACAAAACTAAAACAATATAAATGACTACAAAAAAATACAAACCTGAACTGCACATTTAGAAAACTTAAGATATTTTTTATTTTAATAAATAACTTGGTTTGAGCCTGTAATATCTGACCAATTGTTCAAAAAGCTATTGTTACAATGGAAGATGTTCAGAAAAAATACCAAATGTTACCTAAATCAATTGGTCCTTCCCTTAAGCCATCGAGCTCATACAGACGACCATTAACAGGAACGTAGCTCACAAAATGAAATGCATCTTCTTCCTTTGCTGAAGACTTTGCATCAAATTCAAACATCTGTTGTCTGCAAAGAGAATTTTAGAAAACCTGAGATTAAAAAGAATTTCCTTCCAGTTTTGCCTAGATTTAAAACATGTGTTACCTGGCAAAACTGTTGTGAACTTGCCGAATCACTTCTGAGTTGCTCAGTGCCAAACCTTTCATCTGAAAGGAAGTTACACAATGACTGTGAGCCAGCACAGCCAGAACACTGTAACACTTAAAAAATACAGAAAACGGTGGGCACTTACTGCAGCATCAAAACTTTGTGAAAATTCCTTAAATTCTGACAAAGTCTCTCCTAGATGGATGTCTTGATGAGCACAATTTAACAGCACACTTATTATGGCTTGAGTTGCACAAGCATTATTAATTACCTAGAAAAAAGTATTGAGAATTTGTTCATCATTGGTGATAAAAACTTACTTTAATCTGGGCAACATTTTTCGTTACAAACACACACTTTCTGTGCTGCATCATATTACAAGTTCACTCTAAAACAGACTAGATTTGCTGGTTGCATGCACCTGGGGAAAAACAAAGAAAAAAATTAACCATCTTGGCAAAATTTACTGCAAAGTCAAGACTTGGATAATTCAGGTGTATGCAGCAACTTCAAAGTATGTAACAAGTTCTTCCTTAGCAACTGCAGTCTCAAATCAGGTGATTTTTCAGGAGGCAGAAGACATTTTATTAATTACAATATTTAGATAACACAGTGACCAAAGCAATAGAGCAAAACTAAATTTTAAGGGCATAAGCAACTAACAATTTACTTTGTTGATAACACAAAACAATAGGGCAGGGGGAAAGTATGTTATGGAAGATTTATATGAGAGGAAAGAAGTTAGCTGGTATGACAACATTACAATAGATAGCAAAAGAAAACATTATGGATAGCTACAGCTGTCTGTTTAGTATAAACTCTTGATTTTTGTCTCTGTAGATGCAATGCAATGTTAGAAAGTCAGACACAGAGAAAAACCATAAAAGGCTATATGATAGATAACTTGACTTTGAGAGAAACGAGAGAATAACTAAAGGTGATTTCCTAAGTTGACAATGCCTCTTTAATAACTTCAAGACCTTCAAGTAAATGAAGAGACTCATGATCTTGTGACCACAAAAATGATGTTACTGGTAGGTCTGCTGACTGTACACTATCTCTAGACTGACTAAAGACAAGCCATTTAGCAGCAAGCCACTACTCAGCCTAAAAGTAAAATATAACTGTCAACAAAACTGGAAAACACTCTGGAAATGGAGTGTGGAACACACTGACATTAGATCAGACATGACAGTACAGATACATGATAGGCACTGTAGAGCTTTTCAAGACACAACAAAGTACACATATCACCAAGCTAAGAAAGATTACAAAACAGGAGCAAGTCTTACAGAGAATAAAACTATGCTGGAAGTAACTATTTTTTTTTAGAACCATTAGGAAAATAATTGTTATCTAAGAAGAAAGAGGGCAGGGTGCAAACACAAGCACATAATGTAAAAAAAGTGTTTGGAATCAGCTGTGTACACGTTGCCAGTATGTAAACTTCTCTCTTGCAACAAAATTATCAAGGTTTGGATTGCATGGCCTGTTCATTTGATTACTGAATGAAAGAAGAGATCATAAGAAACATGGAGGAAGCAGGAAGAAAGCTGTATTTTCAGTCCAACAAAACTAAAACAATATAAATGACTACAAAAAAATACAAACCTGAACTGCACATTTAGAAAACTTAAGATATTTTTTATTTTAATAAATAACTTGGTTTGAGCCTGTAATATCTGACCAATTGTTCAAAAAGCTATTGTTACAATGGAAGATGTTCAGAAAAAATACCAAATGTTACCTAAATCAATTGGTCCTTCCCTTAAGCCATCGAGCTCATACAGACGACCATTAACAGGAACGTAGCTCACAAAATGAAATGCATCTTCTTCCTTTGCTGAAGACTTTGCATCAAATTCAAACATCTGTTGTCTGCAAAGAGAATTTTAGAAAACCTGAGATTAAAAAGAATTTCCTTCCAGTTTTGCCTAGATTTAAAACATGTGTTACCTGGCAAAACTGTTGTGAACTTGCCGAATCACTTCTGAGTTGCTCAGTGCCAAACCTTTCATCTGAAAGGAAGTTACACAATGACTGTGAGCCAGCACAGCCAGAACACTGTAACACTTAAAAAATACAGAAAACGGTGGGCACTTACTGCAGCATCAAAACTTTGTGAAAATTCCTTAAATTCTGACAAAGTCTCTCCTAGATGGATGTCTTGATGAGCACAATTTAACAGCACACTTATTATGGCTTTAGTTGCACAAGCATTATTAATTACCTAGAAAAAAGTATTGAGAATTTGTTCATCATTGGTGATAAAAACTTACTTTAATCTGGGCAACATTTTTCGTTACAAACACACACTTTCTGTGCTGCATCATATTACAAGTTCACTCTAAAACAGACTAGATTTGCTGCCTGAGTAGCTGCAGAAAAGCTTTTGCTGTAGGAGACTAGTAAAATGAATTCTGGATGGCTGCAAAGTACAATTCATTGACAAAACTGGTATTGCATAGCTCTACTTAGAAACAAGCTCTACTTAAAACAATTAATGAAGGACACAGAAGAAATGTAGGAATCCTCTGATCTCTGTGGAAAAACACATAAAGTACTATTCAAAGCAAGCTGCCCAAATTGCATTATTGTATCTTAAAAAAAAAAAAGTCAACTCTCCCCTCAAAAAACTCCCTCAAGTAATCAGAATTCCTACCAGGCACAGCAGGTCAAAAAAAAAATTAGAGCAATAAAGTACATTATGGAACCTAGAATTTTTATTAAAAGGTTGTGTTGGACAAAAGAATTTTGCATATTCCAGGGATAAACTAATAAAATTTAGAAGTGTTCTGAGATGTGAAAATTGTTAAAAATATAGTTTGCTGAGTAATATAATAAGCCATATGATACTTCAAGATTTTTCAGTTTTTTCTTAATTTACAATATACCTATCCTTTTCAAGCTAACATGTAAGATACTAGTTTGACACTGTTACTCTTCAGTGTTAAGTATTCCATTTTTAGAAAACATAAACAACCCCCTTCACATTAAAGTCATGTTTTTAATGTTGTTTACCAATACCCAAACTAAACCACAGTATTTTAAGAAAGAGACTACAAGAATTATTAAATATAATCTGAGATTTAATTAAAAGTAGAGTAATCAAAAGTTATAAGACTGTAATAAAAGAAAGACTTTATATTAGTGTTTTCTCAGTGAGCTATAGGTTAGGAAAAAGTAAGGTATCTTTAGTCTATGATACTATTCTGCAATTGAAAATGCTACTTAAACCATAGGACTGGTAGAGAGGATGTGAATTTTGTATTAAAAAAATGAAAATTAGTTGAGGGCTGTGAATGTGAAACCACTTCCAACAAGAAAGAAGGAAAAAAAAGTGAGAAAACCCAACCAACCTGTTTTACAGTCAAAGCTGGTTGCAACAAAGGAAAGCCTACTATGTTAATAATATAAGCCACATTATATATTCATATTCTATACTTCAGGGTGTTCTCAGTTCAGATTATGTTTGTATGCAGATGATAAAGAAATAATAAAACACTCCTTAATTTAATAAAATTACGATCTAGTTGACTTAAATGGTAATCAAGGGAGTCAACGGCACGTGCTGAGAGATTACAGCAAGTGAAACTCAGGTTAAACAAACTGCAGGTACACAGGCAAGGGCTGGAGTACACACAATTGCAGAATTAAGAGCATAGGAAGAAAAGCCATCGGGGCAGTGAAATAATGAAACAGAAGCAGAAAAATTCAAAACCCCCCCCCCCCACTACCAGAATGGCATAATTTGAATTAACACTGTTACATAGGAAAAGGAATCAAGAACTAAAGAGTCTCTCAGATATGACTAGAGAATGTTATCAGAGACAGTTGTAAAAGTAGCACTAGGATGAAAGCAGAAGATCCCAAGTGGATCAGAGTGGGCTGACCTGACACAGTGGTTACAAACACTCCAAGCTGACAGAGAAAGGAGAAAGAAGGGAGGGACAGTTGTGTTGACAAATATTAGAACAGTGCTGCTACAACAAAGGCAGGGCCACTACAGCAAACTGTACTTGTTAAATCCTGACTAATACAGGACATTATAGAGAGAGACAGGACTAAATGGCAACCACTTTTGCTGAAAAATCAGGATGGAACAATCAGTTGCTCTGGCAAAGATAACTCAATAATGGCTTCAAAAAAAGGGAAGGGAAATTTAGAAACATTTTGTGCCGACCAGCTAGATACAGGAGCTTTAAACAACAGAAAAGAGGAAAAATTAGACTTGGCAGGCAATTCATGGGTTCATCAAATACTGAGCATAAATGTGATTTTGTATTTCAGCTACAGTATGAGTTGTATCTGATGAAGTATATAAGGACCAAGCTAAACAATGTCTAACTGCTAGAAAACAATATATAAAAGATGCAGACCTGAGGCCAGTGGCCTCCAGCTGTTGAAATGAAAATACATTACAGAAATGCATTATAGAACTTGAGAAAGTGAGAGGCAGGAGGTAAGGAAAGGACAGCAAGAACAGTCCTGTAGCAGAGGAACAGAAGCAAGTGCAGGTGATGCACATAAAAATCCAGTGTTCCTGGATCTAGATGACATGGGAGAAGTACCAAGGTGGAACAAGGAGGTCCCTGGCTAGTGGCAGCTCACAGGCAGGGTGAAGAGTGCAGAGTGAGGAGGATGTGACTGCAGTAGCAGATGTGGACAAGTGCAAGGTTTACTGTCACACAGGCACGATGCCATCAGTGCACACAGCCAGGCCAGCACTGGTACACACACACAGCTACTGAGTCCTTCAAGGCAAACTGCTCAGGATACCCATCTCTCCAATTTCCAATGGATCTCACTGAAGGTGTCCCAGCATTGGTTGAAAACATGTTCTGAATGACAATAAATGCAGGTTTTCCCCAAAGGACTTTTTTTTTTTTTTTACTTGAGGCTTAAGAGGATCTTCTTTATTTGTCCAGTAATCCCAACATTTGCCTGGATATTTCTGTCCAGGAAGTCCTGGTAAGGTATTTGATCAATATTCAGGACTCCAACTTAAAGCATATACCTGTATTTGAAAGATTTTTCTAGCAAAAGTACAAAGAGTATTTAATAATATTTGAAACAAAATCATAATATACATATACAGTTATGTATCACGAGAAGATTGCCACATCACCCAGTGAAACTCAGCTTAAAACAAACCAAGGAACCACTAGAACAGGCTACTCTGGCACACTCTTCAAGATGCATTACTTCCTAAGCATGCATCTTTCTCTAGGGATCCAGTCTGAGTTTCTGGATCAACCTCAGGCTGAAGCACTTTAAGGTCTCGAATCGCATCTTCCATCTGATGGATTTTGTATTTTGCTTTTCAAAAAAGCTGTGGACAACCCTCTGCTGTGGCAGTATAACCATCAGATCTCTGGGCTTTACCTACTAAGCATCCCAGTGGTACAGAACAGCTGGTTTTACAAAGCTCAACATGAAAAATTCAGCATTAGCAAAAAGTTCCACAACTTATTCTTGTCTAAAAAATGGAAAGCTTTTAAAAATTTTTATTTCCTTGGAGTAATGACATAATACTTTTACAGTTGTATTCAGTTACTGAAAATCTTTTCCCGATTTGTTTAATGTCTTGCAAGTTGTACTTAGAAGTTATCTGATATCCCAAGTTCAGCTTTAACATGGATATCTGATCTATCTTAATGTTACCAAACTTGAAAGAGTCAAAACTTGAAATCAATTAAGTACTGGAAATGTTAAAATATAGACGCTTCCCTCAGTGGCACAAAGACAACTGAAGACCAATGTTTTAACAGTATCGTTTATAAGACCTTCCTTCTGAAGGTATTCCCAATTAATGAAGTTAATGTTCTATCATCAACCAATGCAAAATAAAATAAATACATGGCACCAAAGAAAGGCAGGATACCATTACTTTAGTAATAAACCCTGAAGAGTTTATTAAACTAAAAAAGTGTAGTTCACAAGTCTGCAACAATGGCATTCACTTTTGTCAAGAGACACTGGCACTCCTGCAGTGCTGAGCACAGAACACAGCTACTCCAAGCAGTGCAGAGGGAAGCTGAATACACTGGATAGGCATAATCATGTAGCTGCTGCATGTCAAAATAACAGCAAGGGCCCACTTAAACAACACAGAAATCAGGAAATTCAGAGTTAAGGCTGAAATTGTATCCTTAACTCACCTCATTGTGCCTAGGTATCCTAGCTCAAAGGGTATGTAAGACCATCCAGAGTTCTGTGGCCTCAAATAGAGGACCAAATCATACCTAGGCATAACAGGGAGGCCAAATTTAACATGAGTGCACATAAAAGTGACCATTAAAAAAACACCTTTAATATGCATGCATACCAGACAGACTTTTAAATTCAACCCCCAAACATAATCCTGATTTAACTGCGAACGAGATCTAGTTGTCATTTGGAATTCAACTACAACATCAGTATGAAAGTGGAAATGAGTAAGATGTGAGCATGCACAAGCTTCTTAGCAAAACTGTGTTTCCTAATGCAATTTCAAAGATGTTTTGCTAGACAGTTTGCGAGCTGTAGTCTTTCACATCTAACTAAAGTTCCCCCCAATTAAACAACTTTTAAGATGGAACGTTTAATTGAAGTTGAATAGAAACAGAGCTATAATAACATCAGTTATTTCCCATACTCAACTATTGTTACATATCAACAGTAACTTTGTCTTGCTCATACAGGATTCAGGATTATATTTTAAACCATGTCTGCAGTAAAACGAATGGTACCAAATCTCTTCAGATGATAATATTTAAAAGAAGAAAATGTATGGGAAAGGAAAGAGATACAAAGACTTCCTCAGATTTTTAAGGCTCCTTTGTCATGTCAGTTTTGAAGACACAGATCAACAGAGCAATAACCTTAAATGTCAAAAATTTTCCTAACAAATTTATTTGTTCTGGGATTCCAGCCTACAAATGAACATATTGTTATTTTACATCATCATTTTTGTAATGAAGAAAAAAAGTCTTCTTGAAAGACCTTAAAGCCACCACAAAATTTGGCTTAAAACATACACAGAGAAAATAAAAAAAAAAACACATGAGCCCAGTTGAATGATGGCTGGAAGGACTTGCTCTTTCACAATAAAAGTATTTAATATTAATGCTCATCTTCCTTGGTGTTCCTGGGTGACTCAGAAGGACTCACAGACTATGGCCTCAAGAAATGCAACCACCTCAGCGGTACCATAGAAAAACTCCCATTCTCTCTCACTTACCTGTTACTGGCTTTGTCCTGTCCAGACTCACTGGACAAACACATCTCACAATACAGCAGGAGACCAGCCCAGAAAATATGCACAGAGCATCTACAGACAACTGCTAGCTGATGAGCTGCAGTGGCTCACACAAGTGCAGTGAGTAGGTGAGCCATTGTGAGAGAAGAACAGAACCACAGCGTGGAAAGGAGACAGGCTGAGAGGACCAAGGCATCCTGCTCTCATCATCACAAGATCAGACAGTTGCTCAAGAAAACTCTAAAAGTCCTCAAAACACTGCTTGTCAAGTTTAATCTCTAACCAAGGCTAACTTTCTTCAATGTGAGAGTCACCAGAGCTAAACTGGTATTACAGCTCCCTCCAAAATATCCAAAGCATTTTTTTTCACTTATCTGTTGGCTTTTAATAGTGATTTCTTCACAGCTATTTTACTAGTTGTTCAGCCACAATGTATCAGTCCAGACAAAGCTGAACTGATATAAACCACAAGCATATGTATGTCTACAAGAAAAATGTCCTGATTTTGCTAAGCCACTGCACTTGACTGACAGACAACACTAAAACACGACAAAGATACTAACTCTAAACTTTTTGCAAATTACTTTTGAAGCATCTATTCCATGCCATCAAGTGGTGTAACCAGGTACTACTATTTTAAGAGTCAACATTTCTAGAAATTGCTTTCCTGCTAAAATTAAGAGTCACTCCACCACACCCTCCTTAAAGGGTGTAGGAAGCAGAAGATTACAAAGTTCCTACACCTTCACAAAGAGGATTCAGGCTTAAGAAAACATTAAAATATGAATGTTTCAAAGAAAGCTACAAAATAAAGAAGACTTTTCACTGTTAGCCTTTAATTTTGTGGGTTTTGTTCTCTAGTCTACCATTATCCAAATTTTTTAATGTAAATTCTGCAATCTTAAAGCTCAAGAAAGTTCCTCTTAGCTTAGTGTCAAGCTTCAAAAAGGGAAGTGAAGAGGGGGGAAGGCAAAAGAAGCAGAGCAAGCAGACAAATGCTTTGAAAGTTTTCAGCATTCACAGGAACAGCAATTCTGGCAGACCCTCAACTACTGACAGGAAACAAGATGAAGTCCCTTGAGTGAGGGAAAATTTACCTTCATCTTGAGAAAAAGAACAAACAACCCAAACCAAAGCCCAAACCCAAAAACCCCTCTCTAGCTTCATATCAGAGTAATTTCCTGCTGCCACATAACTACCCTTGGAGAGTTTTATCAAGGATTTTCCTGAGCTTCTTTGCTATTCTGTAGCCACAGTCTATGGTCACCAGCAGCATGTTTGATTAGGCAGAAGTCACAACTTAAACCACTGTCTATCAGAGCTATCAGACTATAAAGACATTTGACAAACCACTGCTGATCACTGTATCATAAAAATAGTGGGCAGTGCTTGGCAGGACTCGAGAGCTGCAGCAGGGGAACAATGAAGAAAATCAGTATTAAAAAAGACCAAAGAATGAAGTCATCCACAACAGCATGAAACAGTAAGGTGATTATAAAATACAACAGAAGCACAGGTACAGAGTGGCCAGGACAGCTATTTCCACTGTTTTCCATATTTCTATACTTTTAGCTGCAGGTGTGTGGAGACTTATTATATTCTGAAATTTACATAAAAAACACTTCTGCCTTTGTGGTGGGACATAAAACAAGAAAAAACCCCAACCAGGGGAAAAAACCCTCCAGCAAATAGACTACGTACAGTCTTCATAGAAAGCCTAATATTTTGCCTTTTGGTATGAATACTTTGTAATTAACACACATAGGATTACATTTTCTGTTTAGACTTACACTTATCACTGTTTCATAAGCAGGTCGTGCAAAAGATCCAAAAACATTTATTAAGTACTCCTGTTTTCATTCTGGTTACTTTCTCTTGCTTTTCTTGCTTGCCAACAACACACACACACACAGTCTGTCAATGCTAACACAAAATTTCAGTACTATTCAGTATTTAATAAAATACAATGGCTTACATCAGCAAAACCAATTTTTCCTGTAATTTCAAATTTAAACTCACCTTTCTGATTTAAATACTTAAAACTTGCATGCCAAAACTGTCTGCAAACCCTTAAGGAAAGTATTATCCTAGAGCTATACTTCCCCAGCTGCAGAGCATTTGAGAAACACAAGAAATAAAAACAGGGCCAAAATAAACGTTTCTTCCAAGAAGTTGTTGAAAGTGGTTTCAAAAAAATAATTTGCTCATTCTGCTGAGAACATGTACCAAGCCTTTATTTACTGCACAGAAGAGTGAGTTAATCTGTGGGCTGACAAATAACAACCCATGGCTGGTATTTTTGACTTAACATATCAAACTGATTTGCTTTGTTAATCACCTTTCAATACACAGTTCCTACTCTCAGAATTTGTTGAAGTCATTTCACCTTCTAAAGTGTTAATTTTTGTGTTCATATTAACACAAAGATGGTTTATTTTTCAGTATTAAAATCTATGATTCATGACTTATTTAAGAAAATTACTGAACTTGCCATACCTGCTTAGCAAAAAATATTGTATCCAGTCTGGAGTCCTGAACAACAGAACCTGCTGGTTCCTCTCCAGGCTGCCACTTGAAGAGAAAAATTAGCCCATGAACTGGCCTGAAAAACAAAATTGATAGAAAAAAAGATCACCTGTACTGATGAAAAGTATTGAATCCAGAAGTCTATACTGTAATTTAACTGTATGCTGGTAGGGTAATTCTGTTCACTATTTATAAACACAGGGAAGTTCCACTGAAATTTTCAGATGTGGTCTTTTAATTGGGCAGAAGACAATTCAGGTTTCCTTCTGTAAATGTTAAACAAACCCAATTTAAATTAGCATTCAGCCTGTAACTTACTTAAGTCAGTGCCAGTTTTCCTGGTTACTGCAACTATTACAGCTGCACAACTCTCATTTGAATTGGTTAGTGATAAATACCTGTCAAAACATTTGTCAATCCCATACAAGAGCAGGAACTAAAGTTCTGGTAATCCTTCCAGACACAGATGAAACATTCAAAGAGGAGTTCTCATGAAACTTCCAGTTTTCTACTAAAAATACATCATGCTTTTCAGACTGCACCAATTGCTGCATCTTCTGAGAGGTTAATTATGCAAGTGTGGGATATCCACGCAGGATACAGGTCCAGGTTAGATGACACTTTCCTCTTAAAATCTTGTCTATTAATAAGGGTAACAATGTATCATGGACAAAATGGTAAAAGAACTAATGTTGCCTAATGAGAACAGAACTGTTCCATATGACACCAGCTGTTCTCAGCTACAACAAGCCTATTTGCCTTCACATACACATGGAAGTGGCTCTGCAGGAAAAACGAGTTACAGAGGTACATAAGTACAGTAAAGTAATTTATTTTAGACAACAGATGCAATATCATTACGTGAGGAAGTAAGGAAAATAAAAGCAAGGAACAGAAATTTGTCACAGAATTTGTTAAAAGATATAATGCAAGCTAATGGCAAAAACATTAGAAATCTATTTCCACATTCTAGCCACTATTAGGATCTCTCTCAAAACCTGGAAAAGCTAGATTAAGGATCAAGGCATTAATAAAAAGCAATTTAACTGTCAGGTATTCCATTAAATCAAAATCCTAATAAACTTCCGTGGAAACTGAAGGAAAAAACACAAATTCAAAAAACCCCAAACAAAAAAGCCACCAAAACCACACCTGAGTTTCCTACACATTCTTTCGGTGACTTCAGACAAATGTAAATAAAAAACATGTGCCTTACTTCAGTTTTTCAAAGTTCTCTGGTTCCAAACTCCATATTTCTTCAACTTGTGCTCCTCTACAGCCTGAAACAAGGAAAAATACAGGTTTCTTCAACTAACCCATTTAAAAGGGACGCAGCCACTAAACAAAGAAATATGAAAGAAAATACATAAAGACATATGTAACACTTACAACTTGTATGCCCAGGTTATGGATAAGTCTATCTATAGGCTTTATATTTAAGAAAGAAGCAGAGGAGATTAAAATGTCTTTGGCCATCTTCTGTCCTCCACTCAACTGAAAACAACACTGTTTTCAAAGACATTATCAGCCAGTCCAAAGCAGAACTTGAAACATTTATCTCCAGGAAAAGACCCATGGTAGTAGACTGAAAATACTGTAAATGATACACTCAAGCAAGACATTTGCATAAGACAGAGCCCAAAAGGTTCAATACTTAAAATGTGGAAGATTAATCCATAGGTTAAATAAAAAGAGAAAAGGAGAGGCATGTCTGGACTTGTGAAAAAAAGACAGGACAGAAACTATGAATCAACCTAGCATAAAATCATTTTGCTTCTTTGGCCAATTCCTGTGTAGACTTAGCTGTTCATTATAACCATACACTCACAGTATCACCAAAGATTTTAAACGCAATTCCACATAAAATTTAATATTCTAGAAGACCAAGCAGCCCCTTGTAGACTCCCCAGTCCAATGCCAAGGCCCATAGCTCAGCCCTGGGGGGCTTGTTCTCCCCTTCTTCCAGGCAACTGGCGACAAAACGAGAGGACAGTCTTAAGCTGCACCAGGGGAGGTTTAGGCTGGACATCAGGAGGAATTTATTCACAGAAGGAGCGCTTAGATATTGGAATGGACTGCCGAGGGAGGTGGTGGATTCACCGTCCCTGGTGGTGTTTCAGGAAAGACTGGACGCGGCACTCAATGCCACGGTCTGGTTCACAGAGCGGTGCTCGGTCACGGGTCGGACTCAATGACCACAGAGGTCTCTTCAAACCTCAGTGATTCGGTGACTCCACGCGGCGCGTCCTCACCGCGCTCCCCGCAGCGCGCAACACGTGCCGTGGCGAGGCCACGTGGGCGAGGGCCCCGTGGGCGAGGCCCGTGGGCGAGGGCCCCGGGGCGAGGGCCCCGGGGGCGAGGCCCGTGGCGAGGCCCCCGTGGGCGCCGCCCGCACAGCCGCGCTGGGCCCGGGGGCTCCGCCGCCCGCGCGGCTGCGCGGACGGACAGCGGCCGGAGTCACAAAGAGACGGCTCGTCCCCAACCCGCGCAAGCCCGCTCCACTCCGCTGCAGCGCCGGCCGAGCCCCGCGGCCCCGCTCCGCGCGAGCCCCGCACTCTCGCCGTGGGCACGCTGCCGCACCGACCGCGCGGGGAACAGCCCCGCGAAGCCCCCGCCGCCCTCCGGCCCCGCCGCCTCTCACCCGAAGCCCTTGATGATGTTCGGTGAAGGACGCCCGGGTCGCTCGCCATTGAGGCACCCACTCGCCGGCGCTGCTGGCCCCCCGGACATGGCGGCTCCGCCCGCGCTCAGCCGCGCTGGCCGCCCGCGCCGCTCCTTCCTTTCCCGGCAGGACCCGCGCCGGGAAGCGCCATGGAGAGGGCGGTGGGCGCCGCAGGAAAGCGGAGGCGCGACTGGATCCGCGGGCAGCCGCCGCGCGGCTCCGGCACCTCGCCCGGCCGCGGGAGGACCGCGCCCACGCCCCGCGGGCCGTGTCGGGCGGCTGCCGGGGAGGGCGGAGGTGCGGGACCCGCGTACGCCGCGCGGGAAGCGGGGCCGGCCCCCGAGCGCGGCTTCATCCGGGGCACCGCGCGCGGGGCGCGGGCCCCATCCGGGTCCCGGCGATGTGTCGGGCCGCGGCGGGGCGGGGGCCGGTGGGGTAGTCGCGGAAGCTCCTCGGCGGCCCGCCCAGCGGGCAAAGCCTGCCCGCCCTGCGCGCGCCGGCCGCGCCCCGCCCGCCGCTCGCTGTCCCCGGCGCGTCCCACGGCCCGTTCCCCGCGAGCTCCGGCGCATCGGCCCCGCCCGTGGCCGCGGCCAAGCAGGCAAGTGGCGCGTCCCGGGGTGCGGGGGGAGCGGGGTGCGGGCTCCCCGTGCCGGCCCCGGGGGGCCCCAGGGATGGTGGCGGAATGTGGGGAAGCCAGGGGGGCACTCCCGGCGGCACCGGGGCGAGAGGAACCCCGCGGGGCGGCGCCGGGCGTGTCCCGCTTTTACGCAGCTCCCCCGTCACGTGTGTTTATCGCCTTTATAAAGACTGACAGCTGCGCTCCGGTATCGGCTTTAGGTGCTCCTACCTCGTAATTCTCTTCTGCGTAAGCTAAGCTGCCTTTGCCCCCCGGTCAGAGCATTTTTTTTTTTTTTAAGCAGGCGGATTCTTGCAAATGGTGCGGTAGAAACGTGTGAGTGGGTATGTGATTCGTGTACTCTGATATCTCCTGTGCTGCTATGGGACATGGCTCCGTTTGTGATTTGGGAAGTGTTCTCCTGGAGTTAAATTGACGTAGAAGTGCTTATTTTCAGAAGTATGGGGACTATGTTGTCCGAGCTGTGCTATAGCACAGGCCTGTTTTGTTACCACCATAATTTGGTCTGATGGTTTTAGTCTCTCTGCTCAGTGAATCAGAAGACAGTATTTATAATCTTCAGTTTAATTTCAAGGACTGAGTGGGAGGGTGCAGTTTCTTGTGGAACGAAGTATATATGGTTTTGAAATATTTGAAGACAATTTGAAGCGTTGTCTTTAAAAGTTGTCAGTGAGTTTTCTACATCTGACTTTTTCAAAGCTTAATTCCATCGGCTTTCAACAAAGTTTGGTTCATGATTGTTAACCTGGCAGTTAAACTTAAGAACTTAAGCTAGAATGTACAGTTCTGTTAATGGTTGTTCTTTATGTGTTTTTTTCATATATACCTGAAACTTGTGCTTTAAGACATTTTATTTCTTAGGAAGACTCATGGCTAATTGTGAAAGTCATAGAAATTAATAAAGGTCAATTTACAGAACTAAATCATGCTTTGGCACAGCAACATAAAGGTGTTGACTTAGCAATTGAGACGTAAGTGTAGACTGTTTCAGAGCAGTCAAAGCCATATTTTACTTAGTAATTCATATGATGATTGGAATATAGTGTTTTTCCTCTTCCCTTAATTACGGGGAGCAACCATGGAGTTTAGTTCAGCAATTTTTGTTGTAAAATACCTAGTCTGTGACTTCTAAGGCTTTTCACATATTTGCTTGTATCCCAGTAGCTCAAAAATTGAAAATGCTTATGGGGCCAGAGTATCATTGATAAATCCTCCATGAGTGTTTGAAATTCAGGTTTCCTGCTGTAGCTCAGCAGATGAAGAGTTGGGTTATGGTAGAACATAAGTTAAATGAGTATATGCATTTATCCATCTGTGAGAGTGAAGGTTGTCTGTTGTGCAGGTGTTAAAGGAGAAAGTAAGATTGAGGTCTGGGCAGAGGAGAGACACTGGTCTGAGGGAGGGAATAGCTTTGGGAACTTGTGAGATTAAAATGTAAAATAGGGTTAGAAATGGCCAACATGACTTGAATAGCTCAACTGAGAGTAAGTGCTTTTCAGGTAGTTCCTGGCTAAGTGTCAGTTTGATACTTTTAGTGTGACTGTTTAGTGGTGGTATAAATTGCAGATTTCAAAGGTAATTTTTAAAATAGATATTTATTTTAAAGAATTTACAGTTTGTGGTAGGATCCAAAATATTAGGTTGTGTTGAATCTCTTTTTAAAGTTCTGAGGCAGCAAGAAGCCATTTGAGACAAGTTTGTGTCCTAGATTTCATATCAGAAAGCATTAACAACTTTATTAAAGGTTTCAGAAGACTTACTGTGGGCATTTTTAATGGGGTAAGTGCTGCAGGGAATTCACTCTGGTGACATACTGTGTTCTATCTGAGAAGATAACTTTGAGAGCTGAGTGAACATGAAGCTCTACAAAAGGTGGAGGTTCTAACAGCATCTGGTTCTGGAGCTCGTAGTATATTTCTGAGAAGGCAAATTAAAGTGCTAAGTGTCAGAAAAACTAAGAGTTGCTTCAGAAAAGCAAGGAGTGTACATTTGCAGCTATCTTTTCTATTATGGGTTCGTGTCAGAAGCCTGTGGATGGAGGCACATAACTCTTTTTGACGCTGAGTCCATGAATAGCCTAGTCCATACAAAAGTAAATATAAAAATTGTACCTTATTAACATGCCTAAGTTAGGTTACTTACACAGTGTAATAGAGGAGTGCAGCAGGAGAATTTTTTTTGTCTGAGGGTTAGCTCTAAACTTCTTTAAAACAATGCAATTAAAATCATACAGCATATTTGCACGTAGCAATGGAGAAGTGAATTGTTTGCCTTTCAGGATGGTACCTTTAATGGAAATACGGATCTTGTGTCACAGTATTTTATAAAAAATCTAGATTTCAAATCAGATAAATATCATTTTTAAATTGAGAAATGGTATAATTTTTAGATTTGTTCCCATCCGCAGGGTGGTGATGACGATGGCAGCTAATTTGTATTAGTGACTAGAAAACTGAGTGTGTGAGGACTCGTGAGACTCTCCAAGTGAAAATTCAAATAAAGTGGACATATCAGAAGGAACCTGTGCACAAATTGATAAACACAGGAAAAAACTCTGAAATATTCCAAGTAGTGCTGATATTTCTTAATATAATCAGCCAAGTGAGACGTTTGATTTAACCAAAGACATGGTTCTTCCAGTTCATTTTAAGTCTTGACAATCCATAGGTGACTGAAAAGAGTTTTCTCATTTGTCTCATTTTAATGTAGTAGTATTTATTTTAGCAGGGGTATGAAAGATACAACAAGAAATTTTTCTCAATATTTCATGTACATGGAGATCTCATTATGCATCATGATCCTTTATGCTACTCATTCTTATCTTTCCTTCAAGATAATGGTGTTTTTCAGTATCCATGTACTGGAAATAAATGAATCTAGACATTAAAAGGTGCTGATATGGTATTCATGCGCTGAGAATACCACCCTTGTTATTTTCAGTGTATTTGCATGCCTCAGATGTCTGTGAAAAAGTCAGCTCAACCATGATTTGTATTTAAATAGGTTTGGCAGGAGACATGGTTAGAATATATAGTTTAATCACTAAGAAAAATAGTGATGCTCTGAATGATACAATGAAAGATATTTCTTAGATAATTTCTAACTGAAACCTGCTTTTTTAAACCAAGTGCCAGCATATGGCTTCTGTTTTTGTGATTTTAGGAGATTGTAGAATGTAATGGGAGCGCTGCTGGTTATCATTTGGTTCTGGAGGCAGATCAGCACAGATGTTGTACAGGAAAAACAGGAAAGGTGCATTTCTAGTCACTTACAGAGAAAGGGAAATTCTGTGTCAAAGAGCGAGGGAAGTTGTTTGTAAACAAAGTGCTTACCTAAACTGGGGGGGAAAACGTCTCTGTCTGTGTTAGTCACATTTATTTATTCTAGCTTATCCTGGTAAATGGATAATAAAAAAAAAGATAATAAAAAATAAAAACAAGTGCTTTTATTCATCTTCAGTATCGGCAGGAGCATGTCAAAAGTAGATATTTGCAATACTTTAGAATTGTTCAGTGGATTTCTTGGAAATGTCATTTGTGTGTTCTCAGACTTCAGTCTGTGTGTATTTTGAGATGTGTACAGTTTGATGGAGTGGATTATTGGTGCTGCTTTTTTTTTTAATAGGAGCTCTTGGTGCTATTTAATGTCTCTTTATTATTTGGCGAGAACTGAGACAACTAAATTTATTGTTGCACTATTAATGTTTTGGAGGTAGTGATGATGATGAATTTTTTTACCCTTGCCTTGCTGATTTGATTTCACCTGCATTTAATTAATTTTAAATGTCATGGCTTGAATATTACCATGCTGGATGTTCTCCAAGTAGGAGCAGTGATGTTGCCTGCAAATATTACAGCTGAACTCTCTTACAACTCAGGAGTGTATAAAGATCTGAAAGACTGAGAATTTTTTTGCTGTAAAGTGGTACAGAATTTTTTATGTCTCGAGTTTTCTTTCATCTCACTTGGAACAGCAGACTATTTGAGCCTGTAACAAAGATAATTCATTCTTGAGGTACTCAGTTGTTAAAAAGCTGTTGTCTAAGCCTCACAGAGACCCACCATATATAAACTCTCATGAAGTCTTCTGACTAAACAGTTTTTAATTATTTTAGTTCTATATTTTACCCTTATTTTTCTCCAGTTGGTCAGTATTAGCAATTCTTCAGCAAAATAGAGTAGGGTAAGATGTGAGTTTTGAGCTGTTTAGTCTGCAATCCAAAAATCTAGGTAAGAAAGTCATGTAATCTATTAGTGGCAAAAGGCTTTAACATCAGACATGTTTTTTGTGTGGTTTCTAAGCTTGTTCCAAAGAAGTAAGTTTGTCACCATTATAACTCAGAGATTTTTTTTTGTTGTTTGTTTTCCCCCAAAAATGTGTATTATTGCACACCGAGAGCGCACTCTGATTAATTTTATGAAGGAAACGTGTAGACCAGATACATTCGCTTTGCTAAAAAGCGATAAAAGAGTAGTCATCTTTTTTATAAAATTTATTATTCTTTCAGCAGACCCCTTGGAAGTCTAAACCATGGAGGATGAGGAGAGCGGAGTGCAGCCCCCGAGTGAGAAGCCGGCGCCCGGCTCCGAGGGCGGTGACCTGTGGAGTGTCACCGACACCAGCCGACTGCGGCGCTTCTTGTGCTTCGGCTCCGAGTGCGGCGCTTACCACGTCAAGGAGCAGAAGCTGGGCTTCGAAAATGCAGAAGCCTTGCTAAGACTGATCGAAGAGGGCAGGGGTTGTGAAGTTGTTGAAGAAATAAAAGCCTTTAGCCAAGAGGGCAGAGCAGCAAAGCAGGAGCCCCTGCTTTTTGCCCTTGCGGTTTGCTCGCAGTGCTCTGATGTGAAAACGAAGCAAGTGGCGTTTAAGGCTGTCCCCGAGGTGTGTTGCATACCAACCCATCTCTTTACTTTCATCCAGTTTAAAAAAGATCTGAAGGAGGGCATGAAATGTGGCATGTGGGGCCGTGCACTGAGGAAAGCTGTTGCAGATTGGTACAATGGAAAGAATGGCATGGCTCTTGCTTTAGCAGTTACAAAATATAAGCAAAGAAGTGGTTGGTCTCATAAAGATCTTCTGAGGTTGTCCCACCTAAAACCTGCCAGTGAAGGTAATAAATTTTTATTTACCTGAAAATACTGTGTTTTAAACCTTTTATATTTATTGTGGAACTATTTTGGAAACCCAAGTACCATTGTAGATGAATTCTTAGGGAGGGTATCTTGTAAATTGCGTAGTAAAAATGTGAGACTTTGTATCAGAAAATTGACCTGTTTGTCTTCAAGATAAACAGTTTGTTCTTTTTCTTCCGTATGTCAAGAGAAGATAAAATAACACAATTTCCTCATTTTGTTCTTATTTCCTTACAAATGATGAAATAACACTTTTTTGTTATTTGTTAAGATCTGTTGGTTTCAAATCATAGAATCATAGAATGGTTTGGGTTGGAAGGGACCTTAAAGATCATCTTGTTCCAAGCCCCTGCCAGGGACAGGGACACCTTCCACTAGACTGTGTTGCTCAGAGCTCCATCCAGCCTGGCCTTGAACACTTCTAGGGATGGGGCATCTTCAACTTCTCTGGGCAACTTAGCAAAGATATTAGGCTTCTTAGTTCTAAGGAGATTAATACAGTAATTATAAGTACTGCTCTAAATTGTATGTCTGACCTTTTTAATAGGTGTTTAGCAGGTCTGAGATTGAAACCTGCTGACTCATTAGCGTGAGAGTGATAAATGCCAGTATACAGATGGTAATCCTGCTGGGAAAAATGTTTTCTTTTTTCAACAGGAATTGCTATAGTCACTAAATATATTACCAAGGGGTGGAAAGATGTCCAAGAAGCTTATAAAGAGAAAGCAGTTTCTATTGAGACTGAAAAACTCTTAAAGTATCTGGAGGCTGTGGAGAAAGTAAAACGCACAAAAGATGAATTGGAAGTTATTCATTTGATAGAGGAATATGGTCTAGTTAGAGAGCATCTCCTGACAAACCACCTGAAATCTAAAGAGGTAGGTAAACTTCATTAGCTTTGAATTCTCTTTAGGGTAATGCTTTTTAGAGTCCTAAGTCTAGATTTCTGTAAAAAGTAGCCGTTATGCTGTTCTTCAAGTTGTTTGCCCAAAGAGCTGATTTAAAGTAATTAAGTTCAATGTATAATTTGTACATTTATTTTAAAATATGCTTATTCAATGTACAGATTTCAGTTCTTGTAGTTTGGGAATCTCGTCTTTCTGTTTTTTCACTTCTCTTTCTTTGACCATAGGTTTGGAAGGCACTGCTGAAGGAAATGCCCATTTCTGTATTGTTGAGAAATTTAGGAAAGCTGACAGCAAATTCAGTGCTGGAACCACGAGGTTCAGAAGTGGCAATAGTATGTGAAAAACTGAGAAATGAGAAACTGCTAAAAAAGGTAAGAACTTTTTCATAATCGATGCCAGCCCTTGTGGGTTTTAATCTCTTCCTTTGCTGTATTTCTTCAGCCAACTTCTTTACAAAATAAAACTGATGTTCTTTGGAGGAACTGTGTAGTTTATTCTAAAATGAGGGCTGTGGCAAGCTTTAGCTCTGGGGTTCATGTGTTCCTTCTGAGTCTTGTAATTTAGAATCAGCAATGCAAGCTTAAAAAGGGAGTGAAGTCACTTGTATAAGATCCTAGAAAGCGAATGAAGAAACTAGCATAGCAGTTGAGGGGAAAAGGAGATTTTCTCCTTTCAGATTGCTTTACTATCCATCAAAGAGGTAAGAAAATAAGAGGGAAAAGAGGATTCCCCAAAGGGAGAAGAAAATATCCAGGAATGTAACGGAAGATAGAAAGGACAAGTGCCTTTACCAACAGTTTTGTGAATTGGGAAGATTAAAATAAGGACCCTTAAATTATTCAAGACTATTCAAAGCTAATTTGAGCACAACAACTTCAGTCCCTTTTTTCCCGTCCCACTGCTCTTCCCTTTCTCTGGTTCCTTCTTTAATCAGGCATAGGCACTGGAGAAGGGAGAGCAAAGATGGTGGTGCAGTACCTTGATGGAAGAAAGGTGGTGGACAGGTGTTCAGATTTGCTGAGGTTCGCTGCTGGCAGTGATCAGTGACTGAAACTCCCCTTGAGAAAAAAAATAACAAAATGTTGATAACTCAGTAAAGCAAAGATGTGGCTTAGCATGAAACAAATGATATGGTTTATGTATGGAAAGCAAAAAAAGAAAAATGTTTGGAATGTTTTATAGCAAGAGGAAAATGAATGCTGTATTCTGAAAATAGTTTCTTTGTCCAGTGTTATTGTATTGGATATAAAACTAGTTTTAAGTTTGTTCTTTTTCTAGCTCAGCTCCTTTCCCCTCAGCAGGACAGGGACTTTCTCTTAGTGTAAACCTGTGATGGACAATCATAAAGCTGTGAAGTTTTACCAAAATTCTGGTGATGGCTTAATATTTGGTGTTGATTGGAGGATTCTGGAAAGGTGATGAGGTCCGTCACCAGTGACTGAGGAGTATCAGTTCATACAACAGCTGTGGAAAGGCTGCATGAACTCCTGAAATTTAGCGAATTTAAAGTAACAGTGTACTGAGCCAGAGATTTTTGTAGGAGAACTGTATTTTCTTGTTCAGTTTGTTATTACTTTGTTGGTTTTTTTTTTAAAGGAGGTCAAATTTTCAAGAAGCTCAGTTTTTATTTCTTTTGCCTGTAGGGTAAAATACATCCATTGCATATTTTGGTTGCATTAGAAACATATAAAGCTGGACATGGAAGCAGAGGGAAGCTTTGGTGGCGTCCTGATGAAGACATTTTAGAAGCTTTAGATGCCTCATTTTACAGAGCTTTCAAGGTAATACAGTTCTTCAGTTTGTTAAGCCTTTTTAAAGGTTCTATGTTTTCTGAAAGCTTATCACGAAAAGTTTGTGGGGTGGGTAACAGTGCTAAAACTTTGGTGACAATATTAATTATGTGTATCTATCTTCTTTTTTTCTCTTTTTTCCTTTTAGACACTTGAACCAACAGGAAAACGCTTCTTACTTGCAGTTGATGTCAGTGCATCGATGACACAAAAGGTTTTGGGCAGTGTGCTCAATGCGAGCACCGTTGCAGCAACGATGTGTATGGTGAGGCATTGCATTTCTTCTGTTTGTAACTGGTCTTTTGATACAAAGGTGCTCTAAAGCTGGTTAGAAATCAGGAGGAAACTTATATATAATATTTTTTTGGGTATGGAAGACGTGACCTTGTGCCTTACTGGTAGATCAGTTCCTTAAAGTTCCTGGTAACCATATTAAGAAAGATCAGTTTCAAGAAGTTGGTTTCAAGGATAAACCAAAGTGGTCAGGGCAGCTTTTTCACTTAGCTGAAAATATATTTTAATTTTTTTTCAGAGGCACTTATGGAATAATACAGATTGGATTAAGAAATTTTAGAATAAATCCTGTGTACATTTGAGTTATCCGTGTGGCCTTTATTCACAGTCACTTTCCCCTCAATTTGGTGTTGCAAAGCTGCTGTGTTGCATTATATTCTTGTATTACAGAGGAGTTGAACTTTTGTTAGTGTTTAAAAACACTCAATATTTTAAGTCAGAGGGGAGAGAAGAAATATAGAAGTATCTTTAGTTGTAGTAATTAGAGCAGTTCTTGAGCTCTGATTTTGGCAGTGCTTATTTACAGTAAAATATTACAGAATATTTAAAGTGTAGAGTGAACTGTTGGTGCACGTGAGGACCCTGGTGTCTTAAATGCAAGAGCATGTCATGCTGTGTGTTTGGTAGGGAGTGGCTCAATCCAGACATTAAAAATTCAGAGTAATATAACTGAATTATTTTTGTCTTCCTCTTTCTCAGGTTGTAGCACGTACTGAGAAGGATTCCCACATTGCTGCCTTTTCACATGAAATGGTCCCATGTCCAGTGATGGCTGATATGACGTTACCTCAAGTTTTAGTGAAAATGTATGAAGTATGTAAAAACAAACAAACAAACAAAGCCTCAGCAGTTACATTGTATTTTCTTTGTAATCAGTTTTATTATTTTGTTTAATGTGTATCTCTGTAGCAAAACATTGGATTTTTTGGTCCCTTTTATTTAGAGAAAGTCAAAAAAATGTCAATATTTCAGATATTAAACATTGCAATTTAGAATGGCAGTGCTAGGTCACAATGAGTTGAAAAGAATGTTAAAAAAAACCCCAACTCAACTAAAAAAAAAACCTGGACAAAACTAAGATGAAATGACTACGTTTAACAAAAAAACCTCTGTGTGATAAAGCATGAAGTTTACATAAAAGGTAATTTTTCCATGGTTTACTAATTTCAGTATTAATGTGTTCCATATATATTTATATTTTTCCCTTAAGATTCCAGTGGGTACCACTGATTGTTCCCTTCCAATGATATGGGCTCAGAAAACTCAGAGGGCTGTTGATGTCTTCATTGTATTTACTGATAATGAGACCTTTGCTGGAAATACTCCTCCTGCAGCAGCCCTTAGAGAGTACCGAGAGGTAAATATGCTTCTGACTGTTTATGATTAGTGAATGCAGTACAAAATAAATACCAGCTCTAAAGATGTTTTAGGGACTGAAGTAGTTGTGGCTTTGTTTCAGTAAATAATTATATATTGTTAAAAACTGCTCAGTTCTGCAGTTAGGTAGAATTAGTGGACACAGGGCACTAATTGTGCACATTTAAAACCACAGAATTACTATAAGGATTTGTAATTAGCCTACCCTGCTTGGGGTATTGCAATATCCATGAAACTTTGTTTGCTATTCAGGGAGTATATGAATTTTTGCATTCTCTATATAATTGATTGAATACATTTTTTAATAGTTCTTACAGAATGAAATTTGGCTCACAGAATTAAATTTACCGTTGGTGTCTGCAGTAGATACCAAAAAGTTTAAATAAAGTAATGAAGATAAGCCTATAGGAAGGTGTCAGTAGGGTGAGGTGGCACTATTTTCTGAAGAAAGCCCATTATGTTGTAAAGAGACTATTCTAAGCTTAATAATTTTAAAATAGAACAAAGAAAAATAAACCTTTCCAAGCACATTGCTATTAGAAACTCAGAAAGCAATCTTTTAAAGAAACTATTTTTTAAACTACAAAAAGTACTTCTGGTAAGCATGTGTGTGTGGACTGTGTTTTAGTTTTCTTAGTTGAAATTAGCTCCCATTCCTAAATTTGTTCTGTAAAGAAAGAGTTCCTGCACTCTGGCCTTCATGCCACTTGCTTGCTTTACCTTAGAGATTACTTACCTGCAAATTCAGTTTATTTAGGAGAATTGTCCAGACCACAGTTGTTGTATTTATTCAAGCAACATTTGGAAATCCTTGCCTTAGACAAAAACGCACTCTCTGAGTCTGTTAGGTGACTTCATAATTATTATTGAGTTGTCTCTAAGAATGAACTGCATAATAGCAAATGCAGTGTTTGCATTTGAAATAATGTACAAATTGTAGTATTGCAGGAAATTTTTGCTAATATACCTCATTGCAATTATTTCCATTTATTTAAATATGTCTGCTACAGGTTAAACACAATGTTAGCAGGCAGTCTTCAGCTCTGACTGTGGCATATCTCGTTTCTATCAGTATGGCTATTCAGACAGTGGTTTATGCAAGCAAGATTTGACCCTCTGGCATGTTTAAGTTACTGTATATATATGTTCTGCCATGTTTTACTCTGTATGTGTTTTCTGACTTTTTTTTTTTCTGTCCTTCCTCTAGAAAATGGGTATTCCTGCTAAACTGATTGTTTGTGGAATGACCTCAAATGGTTTTACAGTGGCAGATCCAGATGACAGAGGCATGTTGGATATATGTGGCTTTGATACAGGAGCTTTGGAGGTTATTCGAAACTTCATTTTGGATTTGATTTAATTTTTCTAGGCATTTGCTCTTCCCAGTGGGTCCATTGCTGGCAACAGACTTCACCCTGGGAACTCCCAGGCAAATATACTTTATTAGAATATGGCATATTATATACATATCAGAATGTTACGTGAGGTGGTGGCAGTTCAAGCATCTCTGACTAGAGCTTCTCACTAAGGTGTTTGTAAGGTTGAACATAACTATGGTCTCATGCAAATCCTAACTAATTAAGAAAAACTCAGCACTTGCATCTCTAGTGTCAAAATAACTGTCAGTAGCCAGTGATCCCTCTGCTACTGGAGGTGGCACCACATGTCACCCCTGTCACGCCTGGGCTTGGTGCCACACAGGAACACCCTGCGCAGCTCGGACACTCCTGGTTGTGCCCGTCAGTTGAATCAGGTTGCCCTTCAGAACCCTGCAGCACAGCTGGCAACCCTTCTCCACACCCTTTAAGAAAGGCACCTCGACTCCTGAACCACCTTCCTTGTCTCCAGCATGCTTATTTTCCCAAGGCAGTTTAGTTTTTTTTTCCCGTCCATGCACTCGAGACTTTTCTTGGACTTATTCCTGGATCAGTCTAGGCACCACGGAGCTGGAGTTTCCCAGAGCATCATCCCTTGAGTGATACCCACAGTAACTGTGTGCTCAGAGTCCTGTGGCCCATCAAAAACCAGTCTGTATCTGTTCCAGAGGGTAAACAGGACCCCCTGTCATGACCAGATAACAGCAAGGGCACAATGTGCTGTACAAACCCTTGGTCCACTCAGCTTCAGCAAGGTCTGCCTGGCCAGCCTGGCCTGCCCCACATGCATCACCCCGTCCCTGTTGTCCTCCAGTTCCACAGCATCCACTGACTTGAAGAGAGGGATAGTTTTGCCTGGGCCTATGGAAGATGCCACCACAGCAAACATTTCCATGGCATCGTGCCAGACCCTGCTCTTGCTGTCCACCAGTGCTGGAGTCAGCCCAAATGCCAGCTTGGCCAAGTCCAGCTCCCCAGTAGGGTAAGTGAAGAAGGCCATGATGATGACCACGTCCTCTTGGACTCTGGAGTTGTTGAGCTGCAGGTACTCTCACTGCAGCAGCAGGCCCAGCTCCTGCTGAGAATGCGCTGCTTTCCTCAGCCACAAGAGCAGGGGCTTGTACTCCTGCTGGATGGCCAGCTTCTTGTCCCCCCAGGACTTCACCAACAGCAGAGATGAGTGGTGCCAGGAAGGCCTGGACCTGGTCACCCAGTGCCAGCAGATGGATCACCTTCAGTGCCCTGAGCACCACTTGGAGTAGTTGAGGAGTGTGTTAAGGAAGCTGATGAGCCCCAGGAAGCCAAGGGCAGGGATAGAGGTTGCTGCTGCCTGGCTGGCACCTCGAACCACCCTCTTCAGCTCCTCCACAGCTTGAGTGCAGTTCTTATTGTCCTCCTGGTCCAGTAGGTGAGCCTGCAGCTCCTGGGTCAAAAATCTGGACTTCAGGATGGGCTGGATGGGAGGCAGTGGTGCTGTGTCCTTACCCACCTGCAGACTCCTCCAGCTCCAGCCTAGGAGCAGAATGAAGTCCCCATAATCCAAGAGGAAGCAGTGACCTGGTGCTCCACTTAAACAGAAACAACTCTATGGGACCGGATGCAATCCATCCAAGGGTACTGAGAGAGCTGGCAGACGAGCTGGCCAAGCCACTCTCCATCATTTTTCATTAGTCCTGGCTCACCAGGGAGATCCCAGATGACTGGAGGTTGGTCAATGTGACATCCAGGAAACTACAGGTCTGTCAGCCTGACCTTGGTGCCGGGAAGGTTACTGAACAGATCGTCTTGATCACACAGCACATGCAGGACAACCAGGGGAGCAGGCCCAGCCAGCAGGGGTTTATGAAAGGCAGGTCCTGCTCCACCAGCCTGATGATCTTCTGTGACATAGTGACCTGCAGAGTGGATGAGGGAAAGGCTGGAGATACGTCTGCCTGGACTGTAGGAAAGCATTTGACGCTGTTTCCCACAGCATTCTCCTGGAGAAGCTGACAGCCCATGGCTTGGATGGGTGCACTGTTCAGTGAATAGAGAACTGCTGATGGCCGGGCCCAGAGAGTGGTGGTGAAGGGAGTTGCCTCCAGCTGGTGGCTGATCACCAGTGATGTCCCCCAGGGGTCAGCAGGGGGGCCAGTCCTGTTTAACATCTTATTGATCTGGATGAGAGGATCATTTACCTATGACCTGAGGTTGGGCAGCAGGAGGGTTGATGGCCTGGAGGAGAGGAAGGTGCTGCAGGGGGATATGGGCAGCCTGGGTCCATGGGCCCAGGACTATTGGATGAAGTTCAACAAGGCCAAGTGCTGGGTCCTGCACTTGAGTCACAACCACCCCGTGCAGCACTCCAGGCTTGGGGAAGAGTGGCTGGAAAGCTGCCTGGTGGGAAAGGATCTGACCTGTATCAGCAATAGTGGGGCCAGCAGGACCAGGACAATGATTGTCCCTCTGGACTCGGCACTGGTGAGGCCACACCTCAAATCCTGTGTCTAGTCAAGCATTGGAACAAGCTGTCCAGGGAAGTGGTGGAATCATCATCTCTGGAAGTGGTCAAAAAACTCGTGGATGTGGTGCTTAGGGGCGTGGCTGAGTGGTAGATGTGGCAGTGTTAGGTTAAAGGTTGGACTCAATGAACTTAGAAGTCATTTCCAACCATAATGATCCTGTGATTCTTTGTTACCTTTTTGTGAAGGGAAAACAAGAAAAGCGGATGAGAAATCTCTTTTCTCTTTTTTCCTGTTGCACACGATTTAAAATAACAGTGGGAAGTTTGCTAAAAGTGGCTACAGGGTATACATAATTTAATTTCACTTATAATAGGTTATAAATATGGAGAGATTTTTAATTTCCCCCTCCCCTGTTGCTGTGGAATGCTTGTTTGCGAGAATAAATTGACCAATTACTTTTAGAATGGGGCTGGAAAAAAATGGATTTAGTATTTTTAATAATGTCAGTTTAACAGCAACTTCACTGAGAGGGACTTTTCTTTGGGCTTTTTTAAATCTTTGTATTTTAAGCATTACTAAGGTTCAATGGTTTCCATGGTTACAGTTAAAACCTACTAAACCTAAAAGTATTTTCTGGTACATATTGAGACCATGTGACTGTGATACAGGATAAAAGTTATCCAGGGAAATTTTATACTCATAAAACTGAAAGTGGAAGAGCTCATGCCAGTCTTTTTCTCTGTAGATCATCATCTGAGTTTTCTGGAGTAAATATCTCTTTAGATAAATTGAGGGGCAGTTTCTGCACCATACAGTTTCAGAAGCACTATTTTAGAATTAATACGCTTTACAGGAAGTTCTAAAGACTGTTTATAGTAGAAAAAGACCTTGGAAATGACTGGGATGCCACATTCAGTCCATGTTACAACTTCAGGAAGCATAAGCACACTTTCAGCAAGAGAGATCAACAAGTGCATGTGTCTTGGCCTGCTCTCCAAAGCTGAGTGGGAACAACCAGAAACCATAAGCTACTTTGTTTTTTTTCCAAAAGAATGTATTCAGTAATACAGAAACAATCCTCCTAACAGGAGAGTATTTCATTTTTAAAAATATTTTTGTAGATTAACGCTACTTCTGATTTCATGAATTAATTCAAGCTAACATATTTCAAAACTACCTCCAGTTTATAGTGACCAATTCTTAAAAACTTTTATGAACTGTACAGTTGCATCTTTCATGTTCACAAAATCTTGTTTAGGAAGTGATTGAAACTGGATTCTTTTTTTTATTTTTTATTTTTAGTCTTATAGTAAGACTGTGAGTAAACAAGGAGAAAGCTAGTGAGTATCTTACCACTTTGGAACAGGGATTGATAGCAATTCATGTGTATATGTATTTAATTCTGTGTGTGTTTTATATGTGTCAGTATGGGGGGAAGTTAAAAGATCTCTTTAGTAGATCAGTCTTAAAAGATTAGAAAGGTTTTTTTAGTGATGCTTTTACAACTTCCTCTAAAACATATGTGTGTCAGCCTCTTTTATGCTAATGATGGCTGTTTTAAACAGTGAATTTGATGTTAATTTGAAAATAATTATGATGTATAAAAATAACGCATTTACCCGTTGTGGTAAATAACATGTAAGACCATATTTTTCTGCCTAAAACCTAAGCTTTTAAATGTAAATTCATATTATACTTTTGATACTTGTAACACTTTTCTTTTTGCCTCATACATATTAATTACAAATCCAGAGCTCGCATTCTGTAGTGCGGGTATCTCTTTTGGTGCTAAAACAGGATGTTACATGTTACTGAAGGTATTCTGCTACTTACTTACACTCTCCTTTAATAAATAAACCAAACCAGTGAGGGAAGCCTTTTCTGACATTAAAACCAGGGCTTAAAGAACTGATGGTAGGAGTGTTACCTTTCAGTGAACATTAATGTAGTTACTTGTGAATTATCACTGCTCTTACAGTATAGCTCTGATAGAAAGCTTGGAGAATACAGGACTGCCACCAGCTCCTCAGGTGACATCAAGGAAAAAAAAACGTGTTCCTACAAAAGCTGAGACATAGCACTTTGAGTTTGAAAAAGAAAACCAGCCATTTCATGTGAAAAATTGCATATCGTTCTTAGCATCTAAACAAAACACCATATCAATGTGGGGAGTAAACTCATTTGCTCAATACATGTTAATAATTATTTCAAGTAAATGCACTGATGTTTTGGGGTTGGTTTTGGTAGTAATGTGTTTTAAATTACGCAGTAGTCAAACATCTGATTAGGTGTTTCCTCTAAGCTAGAGATGTTGAAAATAACTGATGTACTTTTGCAAGTACTTTTTCTTACTTGGAGTAGTATTTGTGAAGTCATAGGAAATATTTTGGACTAAATATAAAATGAAAACTTAAACAGGTGTTTCAAGTAATTTTTAAGTAAACTTACTGCAAATAAAAGGTTAGAATAGTTACTAACAGATTGAATGAACGGTTATAGTGGTGTTGCATCTTTGAAAGCAGTCCAGTTTAAAATACTTGAACTAGAGTGTGTAAGTAAAGGTGAACTTTTCAGTAGAACTGATAGAAATTGTAGCTCCCTGTATTTATTGCCACTGGATAGCTCTGACCCATAATAAAAGATAGTCATCCATGCTAGGGTACATAATACACTCCTAAACATTTATAGTGTCTCTGTACAAAAAAATCTTGCTAGAAATAGAATGTTCTAAGTGGTTTGGTTACACAGTGTAAAACTAGCACTGGTGAGACCACATTGTCATCTGCTCCTCCCTTAAGATTTACACAGAGAGGGGAAAATGAAGTAAATGCTGACAGCTGAAACTTCATAGTGTGACCTTTGTTCCTATGATTTTCTTTTTGGGTTTGTTATTATCTTCCAGGAAGGGGCATAGAATAACAATGCTGTGTATTCCTTTTCCCTAGATCTTTGTCTTTCCTGGATCTTTATCTGCCCATACCCTGAATTTTAGAGGACAGCATGACTCATTTGCCATAACATAAATGCACTGACTTTAGTGTTCAGTTATTAAACTGGTAATTTCCAAACCAATATCTAGACATGTAAAGAAGCAATAATTACTGTAATGCTTCAAAAATAATAGAAAAAAGTGAACTAAGACAGAGTTGCTAAGCTGAAGCATTAGTTCAGTGTACGATAAATGACCTACCTTTTCACCAAAGAGGAGGCAGGGACTCTTTGAAATTAATAGTGGTGTTTGCATTGGAGGAACACTTTGGCTAACAAAGCAGAAATGGGGCTGTAATTGTGCAATGCAGTTTATCAGTAAAAATTGAACAGGGAGAAGTTTAAAGCTAGTTAATTTTATTCAAAATATTGATTAAAATAAGTCTAAATGCAGAGTGCAACAGCAGAGTGGATGAACACAGGTTTCCTGATATCTGACAGAACTGAGAGGTTTCGCTTTGGCTGCCATTTCACTGTGACCCTCTTAACAATTCTGCAGTATTAAACAATGAGGCAGTCTAAGGCTGTAATGTTCAGGCATTTTAAGAAAGAAAAAAAGGTTCTAATGGTTGGAAGCACAACAGAGGTAAAACATTCTTCTGTAATGAAGGGCTGTAAGGAACAAACATCAAAGGCCAAGGTTCTTCATGGAAGGGACACAATCAAGAATGTGGAGAGGGCCAAGAAATAGAATTTCGTGTCAGGAATTTTAGACCTGGAGCAAGGAGTAGGAGCGTTTGGGATGCTTGTAGAATGAGGTTACAGGCAAAATATGGGGTCTTTACCTACATTCCTCTGTGTTTAAAAAAAAAGAAAAGTCTAAAAGTAGGTGTAGCTCTGAAGTCAGAAGGGCTAGTCTAAATGCCCACTGTGTGAAGGCTACTAATAACTGGCCCTAAAATACCTTGCTGCTTAAAACCACTGTTAAACCTCTTTATTAAACATAAATCATAAGGGGGGGTTGTGTTGTTCTTTTGCATTGTTGTTGTTTAACTGGTGCCCATAAATGGTTATGGCTTTAAAAGGCTATTCAACAAAATACGTATTCTTGGCTTAAAGAAACACCAGCAGTTTTGGAAGTGTATTTTAATAATGGCTCTGTCTGTAAGAACCCTATGAAAATATTTTTGTGCATTGCAAAAAATGCTGTGCTGCTGAACCATGTACCTGACTCACAGCTACTGTAACAGAAGCTTTAGTTTTGATTCCATTTGGGTTTTTTCTTCTATTACCTTTTTGCTTTACCCTTCCTTTTTTCTGTTAACGTTGATTTTTTTCTGCTTTCCCTTCTCTTCGTCACCTCAGGCCTATACTTGAATCTTTTTTTCACAAGCTCTCATCCATTCCTTTTTTTTATTTTTGCCTCTGTTCTGCCTTTTTGCTGTCATTGAGCGCTTAGCTACTTACACCGGAACTGATGTCATAGTATTTATTTTAATTTTTTTAAGAATGGATAAACTTTTTTCTTTAATTATGTAAATCTTTTTCGAAACATTCGATTTGCTGTATGTATCAGATTTTTGGCAAAACTTTGTGTAAAAATCAGTGACAAAAGTATACTTTGTTTATTTACAAAAATCCAACACCTGCCTGTGAATGACTTTATTTTTATAAAGTAACCTCTTACAATTGGCTTTTCAAATTTTTTTCTAGAATTAGCTCAGTGGTTTGAAACTTTTTATTCCATTAAATATTATCAAGCTGCTGTCATGGGCAGAATTAGGCAAACATTTAAATTAATATTCTGGATAAATGAGCAGCTTCTTAGCAGTATTGACCAGAGGAAGTCTTTAAAGAATAGGCTGTAGAAATAAACCTCAGCAAAGAATCATTTACTTGTGCTTTTAATCCTTACTTTCTCTGACACTTGATCAGTTTATGGGTTTATTTTGCTGTCTGCAGTGGTTTGCAGTGCAGATATGCTGTAAGCAAGCTGGTTTAATGACTTTCTTGCTGGAATGGTAGAGATTTCATCTCACCATGACACAGTATTGTGTACAAATTGCTGAGTAA